TTTTTTTTGTCACTTCGCTATCAAAATAGGTAAAATTGTCATTTAAATATAATTTTTCGATTTTTAAATCCTACTAATAGTGGCTGCTCGTTCTTCTTATGAGAATGATGCTTCCGACATTCAATTGTGTGCATCAAATGTACATTTATATCAGTAACATAAGCAGTTAAGATACAATGTGAATGCAAATGAAAATTTATAACTCTAATCCTATACTTAGTTATAACCCTAACAAAATGAAATATTGTCTTCATTAAATATCTCGTTGATCATGTTACCGATATGCTCACTAATGGTTTTTTTTTTCTTATGCTAATGAGTGGGTAGTTGACATGATGTCATATATATGTGATAGGGTTGCAAATAACTTGTCATTGAATGTAATAACATGACATTATGAATAAAACGTGTAACTAAAAAAATTCATATATGTTAATATCACATGTGAAACTATTATTTTGATGGAAATAAATTTTAAATTGCGTTTTAAAAGTTATTTACTAAATAAAACTTACATATAATTAATTATTTATCTAAACCAAAGTTTGTTTCTTATCACATTTAAGTTACCTTTTGCATTACTTGTATACTAGAACAAATGCATACATCTGGATAAGTCTTAGCCTTCCTTACCACATTTTTTCTTAGGTACAATATCGCCTTCAACTTCGAAAGCATGTACTAATTTCTCCACAAGACGATATCACCTTTTACTGAGTTTTTGATCGACCTTCTCTACTGGTTACACTCCACAAGCTTTTTGTCTATTCAATAGTTCATGAATAGTCATTCGGTCTCTGTGGATATGGTATCATATTAATAGCTATAATTAAATTTGTGTTGACAAGAATGTCTTCCATTAGAAAAGAATTTAAACAATATTTGACCGAAATTCGTTGCACACGGTACAAAAAAAAAAATGATAAATACTGTACCAATTTTATCATTTATGATAAATCTCCACATTAATTCATTTCAAATTAATCTTCTTAAATTCATTTTGTCCAAAAAAAAAATATCCTTTGTATAATCAACCATTTCAGCCTAAAAATTTATTTTTAATCAGCATTCTTCGTTCAACTTCAAATTTCGAAAAAAATTGAATCAATGTTTGTTGCCAAGATATTTTTCAGATTTCGAAAAACTGAATCAATGTTGTTTGTCAATATTAACAAAAAAAAAAAAAAAAATTACATAAAAAATATTTTATCCATAGTCAAAGTTACCATATAGTCTCTAATCTATATAACGAAAATGGTAGAAAAAAAAGGAAAGAATAATAAAACTGAAAGTCCTTTGCTACCCAATAAGAAAGAAATAACAAAAACCACAAAAAGTCTACAATAAACAAAGGCGAATATAGAAAAAATATAACAAGTGATTGGGCAAGGATAGCGACAAGGTGGACCACACAAGAAATCCAATGGATAAAGAAGCTGACCAATTAGAGCAGTATTACGAGGATCATCTTCAGAACTCAACCAATCACAAATCAGATAAGGCCTCGACATGGGTCCCTAACTCAAGACATAAACACCCAAAAAGTGCATAATTATAACTTCAAAATCCACTGACACAAAAGGGAACGCACTTCATGCGGGTCATCCTCATACTCTCTCAAACACTCATTGCCCAAATACTATAACTCAATTCTCTAGGAGAGACACTAAATCTAACTTTTTGCAGAGAGCAAAAGATTCAATTATTGAGATTGATCTCAAAACCAAAGCTCTCGTGCTCTTGTCGTTGATGTTGGTTTTTTAGAGTTTGTAAACAAAGATGAAAAGTTTGGCGAATGCTGTTGGAGCGAAGACGGCGAGGGCTTGCGACAGCTGCGTCAAGAGACGTGCACGGTGGTACTGCGCGGCCGACGATGCTTTTCTTTGCCAATCTTGCGACAGTTTGGTCCACTCAGCGAACCCTCTTGCTCGCCGGCACGAGAGAGTCCGTTTGAAGACGGCCAGCCCGGCGGTCGTAAAGCATAGCAACCACTCATCATCTTCTCCTCCACATGAGGCCGCCACGTGGCATCACGGGTTCACTCGTAAAGCTCGGACGCCACGTGGCTCTGGTAAGAAGAACAATTCGTCGATTTTTCATGACTTGGTGCCGGAGATTAGTGTTGAGGATCAGACCGACAGCTATGAGCTTGAAGAGCAGCTGATCTGTCAAGTGCCGGTTCTAGATCCGTTGGTGGCTGAGCAGTTTTTGAACGATGTCGTTGAGCCCAAGATCGAGTTTCCTATGATGAGAAGTGGTGTGATGATCGAGGAGGAAGAAGACAACGCTGAAAGTTGTCTTAATGGTTTTTTCCCGACCGACATGGAGCTTGAGGAGTTTGCTGCTGATGTGGAGACTCTGCTCGGTCGCGGGTTAGACTCTGAGTCCTATCCCATGGAGGAGCTAGGGTTATCTAATTCAGAGATGTTCAAACTCGAAAAAGATGAGATTGAAGAAGAAGTAGAAGAAAGAAAAGCCATGAACATGGAAATATTCGATGATGATCGAAGAGACGGGGATGGAACAGTACCGTTTGAGCTAAGCTTTGATTACGAGTCGTCACACAAGACATCCAAAGAAGAGGTAATGAAGAACGTTGAAAGCAGTGGTGAATGTGTTGTTAAGGTAAAAGAGGAAGAACAGAAGAATGTTCTGTTGCTGAGATTAAACTACGACTCGGTTATATCCACTTGGGGAGGCCAAGGTCCACCGTGGAGTTCAGGAGTGCCACCGGAGCGAGACATGGACATCAGCGGTTGGCCAGCCGTTTCCATGGTACGTTATATATATAATGTCATCATTCTTTAGAATTCTAAGAAAAGTGAGTTTACTGTTCTCAAATAGCTAAGTTAAAGTTGAAATATTATGTTTTAGGGGGAGAATGGAGGAGAATGTACTCATAAGAAGCAATACGTTGGTGGATGTCTACCATCAAGTGGATTTGGAGATGGAGGTAGAGAAGCTCGGGTTTCGAGATACAGAGAGAAGAGAAGGACGAGGTTGTTTTCTAAGAAGATAAGGTACGAGGTACGTAAGTTGAATGCGGAGAAAAGACCACGAATGAAAGGAAGATTCGTTAAGAGAGCCTCGCTCGCTGCTTCCGCTGCTGCAATTTCACCATTAGGTGTTAATTACTGAATAGTGAATATCTGTTCATGTTATATCTCACTTTACAAATTTTGGTGAACTTTTTTTCTTCTGCAACAACATAAGTTATTTTGGCACTTAATTGTACTATTGGCGGACTTGGTATGTACATAGATGTAACCAATAATGTGACTTTTCTTGTATTGATAGCACTGATGTATATATCTGGTAATAAGAATGTGCAAAGGCATTTTGATTGTTAAAATTACTCTATGTTAATTAAACATGTTAAACTCTCATACCGAAAATCCAACGAACATAACTTCTCAAAACCAAAACTAAACCGATTTTCTTTACAAATCTTTAAAATAATAAATAGTTTAAACTTGTTGATATTTGGTAACACTATTATCCTCAAAGAATCAGAATTGGGATTTCAAAAACAAAAATGGCTAGACAGCCAACTATAATAAGCACAATGAACAAGTTCTCCGTGAATCGTCATTGTCCATGCCAATTGATGTTTCACTTTCAGTATAGTCCAATTCCTTTTTAATTTCTAGCTAAGATGAAAATGGCTAATAACTACCACACACGCTTATATTGGAGCAAATATCTATTAGCGTTAATATCACCATATCGTTATCAACGACCCATTATTAATTCAAATCTGTGGTACATAAGAAATGTTAATTTTGGTGGTGCTTAAAATTTTGGTAAGATGGATAATTTCAAACAAGTTTTGTTTGGAAGTGCTATAGTATGATAATCTAAAGCTACTACGTAGAGCAGGTTAATAAAGTATGGGTAACACTAGATAAAGTTGTGAGAAATCTTTTTGTTTTTGTTGTGATAACAACGAAAAGATGTAGAAGTCACATCGTAAAATGTTGTTGTATAGCTGAGAGTTGGGTCCGCAATATGGAGCCTAGAGAGAGACATTGGCCTTGTAAGTTGTAACTTATATCACATTCAACCTTCGATTTGCCGCTTCTCCTATTACAGTTACCGGATAGTTAGGAATAGGAGATAAGATAATAATATACGTAGTTACGTACCATAAAAGTATAAAATTGACTAAAATAATAATTTTAAAAAAGGAATATCATATGCTTTCGGTTTATCCCTTGTTTTCCAAAAGTACTACACTGCGTTTAAGAAAATACCTAGTAAAATTTGGAAAGACTTCTTAAATTGAAGAAGTGTCTTCCTAAATTTTACAAACACAAGAAAGAAGCGAGATAGAGAAAGAATTATTTTGGAAAGATTTGTTTTCGAATAATTCAACATTAAAAGAAAACTTTGTAATAATTGAACCCCGTATTATTTGGACCAAATCAATAGATAGATTCAATACAAAGATTGAAAGGGCAATTGGACCCACCAAATTAAAATGAAATTTTGGAAATTTGTAATAATTTAATTCATATTAAGAGAAGAGTGGCTCATGGTTGGCTTTTTGGGCTGAACAATGAAATGACATGTTTGTGGTTGTGTCCTATCCTCTCTTCTATAAAGTCTTTTCAAATTTTAAAATAAAAATTGAGTAAATCCCAAAACGTGAGGGCCCGTCATTTTGATTAAACCCCGTTTGGCATCTCCCCGTTTTCCTATGATTTTTATAGAAGCTAGGCCTGGGCATTCGGGTCCGTGGGTCGGGTTCGGGTAAAACCCGATCGGGTACGGGTATGTCGGGTATGGTAATCTAAGACCCAATAGGGTAAACTGAAAACATCGGTTCGGGGTCGGTTCGGGTATGGTCGGGTTCGGGTCGGTTCGGATATCAGATTTGAGACCCGCTAAAAACCCGAAAAAATCGGGTTCTACGTATTTCGGGTCGGTTTCGGGTATTTTCTACCCGATTACACTGTTATGTATATTTTTTACCCTATTGTGTAAGCTTTACACTCCAATAGAACAGAACAAAACTTAAAGCATTTAAATAGGAAAGTCTTAAACATCCATTACACATGATTCAAATCCAAGAAAAAAGACAAATTGACAAACCGGATTGCCTAACAAGTTCATGGCATAAAAACAGAAAACTAGAAGTAGACAATATCACTCTCCTTGACCCGCATGAACCTATACAAGTAAACCAATGTCAAAAATTAGAATGCAATCTCCCTCTTACATAAGCTATGTATCTTACTCAGTCACTAATGACTAACCTTTGTATCTCAATCATTCATTCTACAGACTATCAGCTCCTTGGCCTTGCATATTAAAAACAAATTCTGGTTCACCTAGTTCATTCATGCTCTATAAAAAATGAAACAACAAGAATTAGAATCACAATATTGCAACATGATGTTAGAACTCAAAAGAGATAATAGAATCAGAACTTACTTCTCATACCAACTGTTCACACTTTATTCATGACCAGAGAATTTACAACTGTTTGGAAATTTGCATTCAAAGGCAAACTAAGCGTGAAACCTTCCTTAACAAATTCTAGCCCAAGCAGTTGAAAAAGCAAACTAAACATGAAAGCACTGAACTCAAAAGTGTGATGTGGTCATCAAACCAAAAACCTCTTCTCAAAGCCTATGTGAATCTCCTACAATTCTCAATATTTTTAGCACCATAAACATAAAATTGCAGAGACTTCGATTTACCAATATTAACAAGTGATGCAGAGACTCGATTAAATTGATGCAGAGACTTCGATTTATAGATAACCAAGACGCAGAGACTCGATTACAATGATGCAGAGACGCGATTACAAACATGATGCAAAAACTCGATTAATACATGATGCATAGACTTCGATTTACAGAGAAACATGATGCAGACCGCAGAGACTCGATTACAATTTAAAAACATGATGCAAACACTGCAGACACATAGATCATGGAGTAGAACAATCGAAAATTACCTCTAACTGGTTTCGCGACAACGCCGACGGTGGAGAAGTGACCAGAGACGGTGTCGTGGTCTTCTCTTGAGTTTCCAGGATTGGTTCGATTAAATGATGATCGATAAAGGAGAGAGTATAGATCTAGAATCGGGAATCGAGCAAGGCAAGAAGCTAAATCGAAAGGTAAAGCTCTCTCCTTTAATCGTCTCTAACCCTAAAACGACATATAGACTTAAAAGAGTAAAGGTAGGTCTTCGGGTTTCGGTTTACACTATCGGGTATCGGGTAAAACCCGAACCCGACCCGATACCCACGGGTATGAATACATAAGACCCAACAGTATAAAACTCTTATACCCGTACCCGCCCCGAACCGGGTTTTTCGGGTCGGTTTCGGTTCGGGTACGCGGGTACGGGTTTTTTGCCCAGGCCTAATAGAAGCCCTTCCTAAATATCTTTACTTCTTTTTATCTTATTGACCATTTTGGATATTATAATGCTCTTATTAGTGAAACTAATTACTTTTTATTTACACATGTAAAATGAAACCGGGTTAAAACAATTTTGTAAGAATTTCAGCAGATAACACAATATTTAATCCACTACGCATTAGGCCTGGGCACGAATCGAATATCCGGAATTTTTGTGATATTTGATATTCGATTCGTTTCAACCAAATACTTGATTTTGTGATTTGCTTCGATTCGGAAATTTCCGGATATCCGGAAATTTGAATATCCAGATTTTTTTGTGATATTTGCGGATATCCGCTTCGGTACATCTAAATATAAAAAAAAAACCGTAGACTATATAAAATAACAAAATATCAGATATTCAAAGTTCTTGTTTGACATGTTTTCAAAATAAGTTCCAAAAAATTAAACGTAACCATTGTTGATATCACCGATCAAAAACATGCCATCAAACTAATTCTAAAAACCAAAACCCGATAGTTTAAAATGCCACTAATCAAAACATAACTCTGTGTAAATCCAGAAAGAAAATGCTAAAATTTGAGAAACTGAATCGTCCACGGTCCACTTCTTATTATTTATTTAATATTTAAAAGATGCTGATTTTTCATTTTTTAAATAAATCTCAAACACAAGCCCATAAGCTCACCAAAAAGAAAACACAAGTCAAAAGATAAAAAAAAAAAAAACACGAGCCCAAAAGATTAAAAAAACACAAGCCCAAAATATACAAATACACAAACTATACTATGATATGTATATATATATATATATATTCTAATATATATAGAAAAAATACGGATCGAATCGGATATCCAACTTTTAAAAAAACAGTATTTGGTATTTGCTTCGGTTTTAACAAATATTATATATTTTTTTTTGATTTGCTCCAAAATCTTACGGATATTCGGATTTTTCGAATCAAATCAAATCGAATACCGAATCGAAGCGGATCAAACGAATATTTTGCCCAGGTCTACGCATCCCAAAAGAATATTATAAAGCATATGGACCCCGGAGGTGGATTATGTGATTTCTTCCATTAAGCCTGGGGCATTGCGATTTGCACTTTTCCCCATCCTACTTTGGTACCTTACGAGGGCCTAACAAAAAAAGTTAATAATACAAAACATCTTGGACCAAGTGAATATAAATATATACTATATAGTTTGAAAATGAGGTATTGAAGTAAATCTGCGTTTGAAGGTTTTGACCCATAAATAAACTAAAGCCCAATTAGATAGTCAACTGACTCATTTCGGCCCTCTTCGTCTGGGTCTTTCTGTGAAATTATAGTCAATTTATAACACGGTCCATTTATATACATACCTCTGTCGAAATTATTATTTTTAATATTTTTATACTAAGTTACTACTATACTATATTCACAATTGTGCGAGATCTTATAGATACATCTTTAATAATAATCAAGTGTTGGTAATTTTTATGAAGCACAAACTTTTTGAGTTAATAGTTTGTGTGGTTGTTAGCTAATTTTTTTCTTTGTGTAGTTAGTAGAAGGTGTAAAAGTTTATGTGGTTTAAGTCTTTTATCTATCAATAAAAGTTGGTAAAATATATGGTTGTTATCATTTATTTTTCTTGTATTTAAGATTACGATTTATAATTTTTTATATATTTAGAAACTGTCTAGGTTTGAGGACGTAAAATTTTTTAAGACCAAAATATAAAAATGTGAAGTTTTGCCATGTATATGTAGTTCACGAGAAATATAAAAATGTTAGCATGTTTCTGATCTATCAAAAAAAGCATTTTTCTATTCTATTAAAAGTAATTTGTACCAAAGAGATGGTGGTCTAGTAGTAGTAAAAAGAGGTTGGTTTCCTTATGCTTCGGATTCAATATCTATTTGGGACGAAAAAACATTTTTTAAATAGAAATGGACTAAAAGCTAGTTTTGGATATAAAAAAGATTATGGGTTAAAGGTTTGAAATTCTCTCTCCCTTCTTTTTCCCTTCTCTTTAGGGTTTTTTTCTGGTTGTCTCCGTTTGCCTCTCTGGCTCGTCCTTCCGGCGCCGGAGAGGGCTCTTTCCATCCGCAATTAGTTCTAGTTCGCTTTTCTCTCGTCAGTGAGCCGATTTTCGCCGGTGAAATTATCCCCCGTGACAGATCTGAGCTCTTGTTGGTGGTTCCAGAAGTAGTGGCGGCGCGTGAAGCGTGGAGGAGCCGTTGTGTGGCTGTTGGGGTCTCGATGGATCGGTTGCTTGAGGACGGCGCTGATCCGGTGGTGATTTCCGGTGGATCTGGGATGGGTTCTTTCTCATGTGTTTGTTCACTTTCCGGTGGTGTGGTGGCTTTGATGAGGTTGGGGCTCGGGCTATTCCTCGGATGAGTATGTGTGGTTGGTTTCGGCGGCTTGGCTGCCGGATCTGTTAACCTCTCCCCTTCAGGCGTTACGGTGGCTTCACCAGAGTGTAAGTTTGACTCGTTTGGCGGGTGTGTTTTGGGATTGCTTTCATTTTAGGTCTTGGACTTCTTTGGACTCAGCGGTGAGTTAGCTTCGACTTCGGGTGTGGAGGTGAAGTTCCCGTTTCCCTAAGATGCAGCGGTGACTCTGGTTTTGTGGACGTGTAGACGATTTGGTCGAGACCTGGTAAAGGACGCCAGTGTGCTCATCGTAGTGTCTGCGTGCGGCTCAACCACTCAATTGGATGTCGTTACTGCGGCGGAAGTCTGGGGAGATGGGTGGGTTTCGCTCATGTCCGTTGATTAACTGATTGATCCCTTCGGATCTTGAAGGCATGCGTGGGGCACTGGTTTTTGCTCGTTGGATTGAGAAACCAACTACTCAAACCGGTACGTTTTGTTTTCACGGACACGACATATGGGAACCCTAGCTCGGTGAAATTCTTAGGTCACTGGTAATGAAACATGGGGTTACATCTGAGTGCGTTGGATTGCTTGGTGTGGGATCCGACATCGCGGGACCTTAAAGTCGGAATCTTGGTCAACTCGGAGGATCTGTAATGGGCTTGGTGTTTCGCCGGAGATGTGACGGGGTAGGAAACCGGAAACTTCTTTCCTTGTTATCCGCTTCTGGTGATTCATCGCAAAATCGTGGATCCTGTTTCCGCCGAGATAGTTGACCGGAGATTCCGCTTTACGTCGATCAGCAGGATGAGATCCGGTGATTGTTATTGGGCTGATTTTGAGTTTTTCGTTTTTGTACCTTATTCCCAATTGTATGTTTCCAGGCCCAGCCCGTTAGAGATTGCCCATTATAATATAGAGTAAATTTGGAAAAATATCCTCTTTTTGTTTAGATTTTTGAAAAATACCCTCTTTTTGTTTGTCTTTTTTAAAACAATTTGTAAATTTATAAAATTACTAAAAAAATGTATTGAAACTTAATAATAATTAATCCAAAGGATCTATATTTTTAATATCAAATCAATTAATCGGTATTAATTAAATATCTAATTTTTACAAAATTGTCCGTTGACCAAATCATGTTCGTCTTTCACCATGGATGTTATTTTGTAACTTTGAACGTTATATAACTAATAGTTCGAAAGATTCATTATCCTAAATATTTTTTAAGAACAATAATGAATAATAGCATTCTACCAATGTTAAGTATGATTTTTTGTTAAGTCATATGGTGGAGATTTTAATGATTCATTATTATTGAAAACACATAAAATAGTTTACTTTGCAAAAATTTGTTAAAGAGAATCGTTTAATTGAAACAAACTTTGGTAATATATTTAGTTAAAAAATGTGTTTCGTACTTTAGAGATTTGTTTCTTTATATAATATGATAGATATTAAGCGATAGACTTTATAATATTGTTAACATTTAATATATCAAAATAAATAAACTATTTTTGTGTTAAAAATATATATAACCATGATTAATATTATTTCGAATTTAGTATATATTTTCTCTAAATTTTGATTTTTTATTTATTAAAAAAATAGCTTTAAATTTAAATTTGAACAAAATTGTCATCTTATATATAATTGTAATTTTTATTATTAAAAATAGAAAAAGAGTATATTTCAAAGTATAACTCAAAAACAGGATATTTTTCAAAATCACCCTATATATATATATTTTTTTTAAAAAAGGTTCAAAATTCTCGCGGTTTATATATAAAAAAAATTGTATAGTTTGTGAACGTTATGTCGTTATTCTAGCTATATCTATACCAATCCCATCTAACGTATTGATCCACGCATAGGATTCACGATCCACCCACACGCCTTGACCTAAAATATTGCGACAAGAACCACACGTGTCCCATGGTTCTATGCTTTATCATGTTGTGTATGTTTTTTATTACTGTTAGTTTTATTGATGCGATGTTCATCACTAGTTGACCCTTTTTGTTACTGTCTCATCGAAGACTTTCCTTTTTCCGGATAATTTTAACGTTGAGATACAAACTTTTCGCGTAATTACGTCAATTTTAAGTGGGTCCTTCGTCACGACAACCTTTAATATATTAGCTACCAACCCTTATTTTTTCAAGTAAATGCTTCGTCTTCTCTTTCTTTTTTCCTGTAGAGGTTTTGGTCATTCATTAATCATCCAATCTCCTATTCTCTATATAGAATTTTGTGATGGAAAGTTTTAAGTTTCCACATTCTATTAATTAGTGGTAAACACAATGAATAATTTCCTGATATGGTATATACTACGAAAGTTTCTCAATAAAGCAATTATTGTTCTTCATAAGAACTGATATTATCATATATAGCAACTTATGCTTACTTTCGTAAATTGCATACTTTGTGAAAAACGAACCAGATAATTTACCTAAATCTGATAAATGAGAAAGCAGCAGAGCATATATCCGCATCTCTTTAATGAATATTTCCTCATATGGGAAAAAGAAAGTGTCAGTGGAGAAAATACCAGAGATCAAATTCTTCTTTCTCAATTTACTTTCAATTCATCATTTTTGTTCTGTCTCTAATTTGGATTATATATACTTATTGGTGAAAACTCCCAGAAAAAACTCAGAAGTACTTGTTATGAAACAATATAATTCAATAAAAAGATGTAATGATAAAATCTCAAAAATGTTATATATACGCATGTTTAAAAAACAAAAACTTATATATATCATCATAATTCCAAAAATATATAAGTTTTGTAGAAAATGGCAATTTTATTTTGTAATTTGGACCTTTACAAACCTAGAGAAGACCCTGATGACAAGGACAAAAACTATATTCAAGAGACAAATAATTATTTATTTCTCAAAATTAAAGTGTTTAGACAAATACCAATAACCAATAACAGAACCCAAAAAAAAAAAAAGTTACGGAGTTTATTTCATTTACCGTATGCACATTTCTTTGATTCCAATACAAAATAACCAAAATACTCTCGTTTCTTACCATCTTATCTAGATAGCAATTTTAAGAAATAATACATACTAACAGAATGAGGTAAGAGTTCAAAAGAAGATGGAAGAAAATAAAAGAAGAATATATAAAAGCTAAAGACAAGAACTAACTAGTTGTGAAGGCGATCCGGGGAACTAGGTATCCTTCTATTGGAATCTTCAAAGCGAGGATTGGTGTTGTTTAAACCAAACGATCTTCCCTTGAAATACCTTTGGAAGAGTCGTTGAACATCTCCGTCCTTCTTGTTCTTGGAGGTCATGAGGGTGTTTCCGCCTTTTCCTAGTTGGTCGTCCGATAGTTCCGGAACTTGTCGTCCTTCCCGAAAAAGCCAGATCTGGAAGAGAGAGATGAGTAAGAGAGCGACGGAGAAAGTCAACAGAATATCTCGACAACCCATACAGAAAAAGAAAAATGAAGATCAAGAAGAAGAAAGAGAATGTTTCTATGAGGAAAAAAACGAACGTGAGAGTTTTTCTTTTTTGATATGACAAGAACGGTCAGAGATTGTTATATTCAGACATGAGACAACTCCATATCTTTCCTCAGCTCTCTAGTCTCTCTCTATATGTTTTAATGAGGTGGAGCAGGCGCAGCCGGAGGGAAGATGACGGGCGAGCTGTGTCATTGACTCATTTGTAATTTGAGTGAGTCTCTCTGTCTCTGTCGTTTTCTATGTCTCCTGCTTTGTTCTTTTTTTTTGTTCACACATATATAGCTGTTATGTGACATATTAATCTGTGATTACAATTAGGGGCAGATTTATACAAAAACTTTTTTTATTTTTTTTATTTTTGGTAAAATGTGAAGTAAAATTTTTGAGGATTGTGGGATTTGAACCCTTATCCTTCCAAGGTTAAAGAGTGGTCACTACCACTAGACTACCAGAGCTTTTCTTTTTTTTTTTTTTTTTTTTTTTTTTTTTTTGTTGACAGTATAGTACGTATATACTCCCTCTGTTCCTGAATACTTGATGTTTTAAGATATGCACATAAATTAAGAAAAAAAATTCTGTATTATTTAATTAAAACATCTCATTATTGAAATGTCAGATAACAGATAACGTGTGTTGTGTTCACATGCAAAGTAGGAGTTACGTACACATGCTACAAGTTATCTACTCCATACTCCATAGCACTCTAAACGTTTCAGATTCCTTCATCACTCTTATGTTAATTTCCCACTTTCGAAATAAAATTTGTTTACTCAAAAATGATTGAAATTTTTAAACTTGGAGCCACAATTATGTTACTCAAAAACAGAAAAATTTAGATTGGAGCCAAAACCAATAACTATATTCCACTAACCTTCTATATATATCAACGTAGGTTTACACCATTTAGTCAAATTCAACAATGGCTTCTCATGGCTTTAATCAAAATTTACCGCTTCAAAACAATGAACAAGAATATTTGTTTGATTTGAACAAAAGTCCAACAAGAGAAACTTCACAGGAGAATTGTTTGGGCGTTCCACTCAACCAAGAACAAGAAGATTTTTCTTACATAAATTCAGGTATTTTTATTTATTTATTTGTTAGACACTGCATATATATCTAATTTTTAAAAATCATAATGTAGAAATTTAATCCATAATTTAATGCATCAATTAATATATGGGGGATTTATTTATCATGAGTTTATGAGTTCACGGAGAATTAAATGAATCATGTTCTTTAGTTTGTTTTTAGTTAAGTTTTTATATGATACATAAAGTTACCCAGTTTTTCTTATGCATCGACTTGTATGACATGGAAAGCTCTTGGTGCTTCTTATTGTTTGTGGAGTTCACTAGATCTTCGTGTTCACAAGGATTCTTATTTTATTTAACATTTTATTTTTCAAAATGTTTTTGATAGGAGGAAGTGTTGGGATATCACAAAGTCTTCAAGAAGCTAGTTATCACAATAAAAAAATGACAGATGGAGAAAGACTAAAGGTTTATCTTGCTCTACTGGAAAGAAGCAACAACGGTAAATTGAAGAAGATTCATACAACTGAAGTCGCTAATTTATTCTCCGTACCGTTACAAACGGTACAAAGAATTTGGAAGCGGGCTAAGAATACTCCTAATGGTGAAGTTGTTGATGTATCACATAAGAAAAAGGGTAGATGTGGTGCGAAGAAAATTCAAATTGATCTTGATCGAATTGTTGATATTCCACTCCATCGTCGGAAAACGTTACGGTCATTGGCGGCATCTTTGGACGTGAGCCGTACGACATTGTTTCGATGTCTGAAAAATGGGCTCATAAGACGACATTCAAATGCCATCAAGCCATGTTTGAAGGAAGGTAATATGAGAGCTCGACTAGAATTTTGTGTCTCCATGCTCGATAATAGTACTTTGCCCGATCACCCGAAATTTGTTGATATGTACAATATTGTGCATATCGACGAAAAATGGTTTTATATGACAAAAAAGAAAGAAAATTATTACTTGCATCCTATTGAAGAAGAGCCATATCGTACATGTCAAAGTAAAAATTACATCGGGAAGGTAATGTTTTTAGCCGCCATGGCTCGTCCAAAATTTGATGGAGAAGGAAATGAACTTTTTTCGGGAAAAATAGGAGTGTTTCCATTTGTTACAATGCAACCGGCTCAAAGACGAAGTAGAAATCGAGAAGCGGGTACTTTGGAGTTAAAGCCGATGACTTCCATCAAGAGAGAAAATATTAAGGAGTTTTTAATTGGAAAAGTTATACCGAGAATTCGTGAAAGATGGCCACAAGAGGATTTCGGGAAAACAATTTTTATTCAACAAGATAATGCAAGAACTCACGTTGACCCGAGAGATGAGGAATTCCGAATAGTTGCTTCTCATCATGGCTTTGACATTCGGTTGATGTGTCAACCACCGAATTCGCCCGACTTGAATATTTTAGATCTTGGATTTTTTAGTGCCATTCAAACACTACAACACAAGGTGTGTCCGAAGACGATAGAAGAACTTGTTTCCGCGGTAGAAAATTCATTTGATGAATATCCCTCAAACCAAGTGAACCGGATTTTTTTGACTTTGCAATCATGCATGCAAGAAATTATGAAAGTCCGAGGCTCTAACAAGTACAAAATCCCACATTTGAAGAAATCCATCTTGGAGAAAGAAGGTAATCTACCTTCACAAATGGCTTGTGATCCTATTTTAGTACGAGATGTAGTAAATTACTTAGCTACCTAAGTTTTTATTATTGTCATTGTATGTTTGTTTTTTATTTTGTTAATCGGCTGATACAATTTGTAAGATCTTTTACTTATTGAAGAACTTTTTGAATTTATATTTGATGATTTACGTTTGCAAAATACAAAACTCCAAATTTAAAGGAACAAACTTGGTGGCTTTCCTACTAATAAAAAAGAGTTTATATAGATTTGGTCTTTTCTCAATACATTTCTTCACACGTTTTATAACAAAAAGAGTAAAATTAGGAAACAAAAAAGAACAGATAAAAAGGAGAGAAATTAGGAAACAAAAGGAGTTTATATAGCTTAATTTTTTTTTATAGATTTGGTCTTCTGCCGAGTTACATTTTTTTCCTTTCATGTTCATAACAAAAATGAAAGAAATTAGGAAACAAAAAGAAAGATAATCTAAACAAAGCCGATAAAATAGAAAACAAAAAGAAAGATAATCTAAACAAAGCCGATAAAATAGGAAACAAAAAGAAAGATAATCTAAACAAAGCCGATAAAATAGGAAACATTTGGAAAATACCAAATTAATAAGAGTCAGGAAAATATATCCTCAGCATCGTCAATATAGTATCTTCCATGCCCTTGTCAGGATGCAGCTCTCCTACATCATAATAAAATGTTTTGTTCAAATCAAATTCTCTGGTGGAGTTAGAATTGATATCATAAATCCGATACACATTCTTCGATTGGTCTTCTTCTTCGTCATATGGCTTGTTCAAATCAAATCTCCGGATAGTGTTAGATTTGGTTTGAGTAGGTTGAACATGATTCAAATCTCCTTCTTCTTCCTTCATTTTTTTTCTAGCTTCTTCTTGCTTCATTTAGAAAGAGAAAAACAATTAACAAGAAGAAAAAAAGAAAGAAAAGATGAAATGGTGAGTGGTTCGTAAATGGCAAAGAATAAGTAGTGATGTTCAATGAGAGTAATCAATGAGCATAAATGGGAATGGGAAACTTTTTTCACTGAGAGTAAATAATGATTGGTTCGTAAATGAGAATGGAAAGTTTCACAAGTTTCATTTTCTTTGTCCAAAAACACACTCAACTCCACTTTTTATCATTAATTAATTTAAATAAAATAAATACATTAAATAAATTCTACAACATCAAATATTCAGGAACAAGGAGAAAAACCAAAACATCAAGTATTCAGGAACAGAGGGAGTATAACATTTGCTCAATTATATACTGGTTTTGGTTCCTTGTCACATGCATGTTCCTTAGATATTCTCTGTTTATTCCTCGGTTAAATGGTCCAAATTTTAAATTTATGATTCGTTTGTTATAAAAACAATGCAGTGGTCCAACTAGATATGTATGCAAAGAAAAGATGATAATCATGAGTTACATTCCCAAGATAGGTTTCTGTAGCGTTGGGAATTGAATGGATGCAATTTATTAGGCAGACAATTGATATTTCTAGGGTGTGACTGGTCACCCTTAATAGAAGAAATGAAAAAGGGAGAATTTTTTATTTTCTTGGCATGCACCAGTAAAAAAAAAATCAGAAGAAAATTATATCAGATGAAAACATCAAAAAGTAACTAAAGGAGAGGAATTCTTTCTTCCTCAAAACTAGTAGAATTCATTTTTCTTCTTGATGTGACATTTCTTTTCTTCTATTTTTTCTTTTCATTTTTTCTAACTTTTTAACCAGTCACAGCCCTAGTTACCCGACGGAGATGTAACGAAGAATATGTATATACAACTAAAGAGCTAAACCTATGTTTAAGTGTGTCGGTGGTGGTCAAAACTGAAGAAGACATATCGATCGATGGAGGGGAAGTATCAATGTTGTCATGTTGATTATAATCACGCAAAACATATTATATGATGTAGCTAACAAACAAAATATATTTTGCAATGTAAAATGTCTATATACAGAATTAACAAATTGTTAGAAGAGTTCATCAAAGGTAACAAATCAGTATATGATAGTGTTAAACTTCGTTAAAAGTGTAGTTAAACAAATGATACTCCCTCCGTTTCAGTTTAGTTGTCGTTTTAGGATTAAAATTTTGTTTCATAATAGTTGTCGTTTAGGTTTTCAATACAAATGTTTGGTGAAAATTAATGTTTTGTCATTAATGTTTTAGTGTTTTGACCAATGAAAAAATTATAAAATATATTAATAAAGGGTAAAACAAAAAATTTAATGATTTTCTTAATTTGTGTGCGAAAACCTTAAACGACAACTAAAACGAAACAGAGGAAGTATAATATATTTCTTGGCAAACAGGATATGTTTTGGGTAAGGAGTCAATTGGTCACATGGGTATGTCTGATTTTTATTTTTAAAAAAATAAAAATTTGAAATATTAATTGTCTATATATAACTATTTGGGCTGATAGCAATTATTCGATTCAATAATCAGACCCGTCTTCGCAGGTCCACGCGAGAGCTCCCACGAGTCCACGACTAATAGTAATAGCATCTCCACGATGAGAAACTATTATAATAATTTAATGTTTTTGTAATAACTAAATTATTTGTTTAATTTTAATTAATTAAAAAAAACTTTAATCAATCAAATGATGCCAAGGGTTAGACACAGTGTCTCAGAGTTTCTCAAATGAGACACTGTACCTCATTCTCTCTCTTACTTTTAATTATTTTTCTTTTTTTAATTCTTTAAACACTTTTTAATAAACCTCTATTCGAGGTGCTCTAATAGTCTCAACTTTTTTTTTTTTGTTCAGTTTAATAGGTGTCTGTTTTTCAAAATCTCATTTGTTCACATCTCTAGTAAGTAGTAACATATAGGTGATCAGAGGACAAAGACTAATATTAATCGCACTTAATATAAGCGAAAATGTGGTGATTCAGAGATTGAAAAGAGTTGGTGGTTACATAGTTTCTTCTTTTTATATCACTCGACTGTCAAACCGAGAGCGTGAGGAATATTTGTGCATGCTACATCCTTTAATATTCGATTCATTTTGGATTTGAATAAATAATCGAGAAATCAGTAAAACACAAAAACCAAAACTTGTCTTCTTATTAAAAAAAAAAAAAAAAATTGCCGTCTTCTCAACCTCTTTCGCCATTTTCTTCTTGTAGTTGTCGCAATTTATTTTGTCTCTTTATTATCTTACGTTTTCCCTCTGATCCCAACCATGTTCAGTATTAACTCTTTTTACTTCCAACGTTATTTCTTATAGTACCAGTTTAGGAACTTAGCATTGCTCTGTATATCTTAAAAATATGTTCTAAACCTTACTTTTGTTGATGATAAATTGATGAGAGTAAAGAACACAAAAATGTGTAGGAAGAATTATAATAGACTCTCATAAACTTAAAGATATAAATTACATTCTCTTATATAGAGATGAGATTTCCTATTCTAAGATAAAGATAAATGTAAATAATATATTTAGAGATAATGTTAAACTTCCTAAACTTAAGATATAATAATTTCTAGATCCTTCTCGATCTTCATGATTTCCATAATCTTGGACGATCATCTCGACCGTCGATCTCCGGTTCTCCCAATACCCCTCGGCAAGCTCATACGTGGTAACACGTATGAGATTGGACAAGTCTTCAAAATAGCGGCTTTATACCCGGCCGTCGGGTCATCATCGACGTTTATACCCGGTCGTAGGGTCAAAGTCGTGGTCACCATCATGTTCGTAGTTAATGGAGAACCACATGGAAAATACATCATCATCGTAGTTATGTATCTCCATCGGTTTTAAATCACAAGTCTTGGTCGCTCTTCGAACTTCTTGTTCATGAAGAAACTTGTGTAAGATTCAAATTCGTAACCGCCGGATCAGCATCGTATCCGTCGGACTCACCATAGATCATACTAGACGTATCTTCATCTTCCTTGCATGTGATGAAGAACGTAATCAACTTCATAAAGGCCACATAATGACCAGTTTATTCTCTCACAAGAAAACACAATCACGTGCTTTAAAAATCATCTTCGTCCAAATTGCATTGATTGTCCATCTCACCTTTTGTAGTGGTGGTGATATCAACAAATCAATAACAAAATTTTGGAATCGATCAAGTCTTTTTTTTTTTTTTTTTTCTTTTGCGGAAGATAACGAAACCTTAACCCATAGGAGTAGGATCTTGGCTCTGATACCATGATAAATTGATGAGAGTAAAGAACACAAAAATATGTAGGAAGAATTATAATAGACTCTCATAAACTTAAAGATATAAATTACATTCTCTTATATAGAGATGAGATTTCCTATTCTAAGATAAAGATAAATGTAAATAATATATTTAGAGATAATGTTAAACTTTCTAAACTTAAGATATAATAATTTCTAGATCCTTCTCGATCTTCATGATTTCCATAATCTTGGACGATCATCTCGACTGTCGATCTCCGGTTCTCCCAATAGTTGACCAAAAAAACACTTACTTTATGTGGTAACATATCATAACCCTTCCAATTATATATATATATCAAAATCCTATACGATATTGAAAAAGTATGATCTTCTGTTAGTTCTCGTAGTGCGGTGAATGCTGTCATTCTATTCATAGTCATTTTTTGAACTTGAACTTGAATTCTAAGAAATTTTTTGACCAACTTAGAATTTTGGTGGACTCTGACATCTTTGCCTTTCATAGTGAATTATTTGAGTTTGAAAAAAAAAAAAACTGATTCGCCACGGTTGTATAGATTTTTTCTTTTCAGATGTAGGAGACAACAAATTAGTATAGTAAACGATATGCAATTATCAAAAAGTTGAAAAGCAAAAATTGACGAATCTTTTATTTTGTTCATCATTTAATTTAGTTTATGGTTTTCCGTGGTACGAACTATTATATGATTAAATGTTTATTTTATCCTTGGTATTATATGCATGGATATTTGTTTTCATCATCACTAACTTTTGGCAGATTTATAGGAAGAATGTAGATCCTCACGTTGTTGACGTGTGCTACCGTACTACCGATTGGGAATGAGGCTAGCTCTACATTTTAATTTGTCTTTTTCTTTCTTTTGTTACTTTTCTCTTTTTCAAATTCAAAGTTGGATACGATCAACAAAAAGTTCCCATATTGACTTGATTTTTTCAAACATATATACCAGATGTAGACCGTGTAGTACTATTGTAATATCAAATGCCTTCTACAACGATTAACAATGTGACATTAAAAACATCTAAATAATGTTGGAGTTTGCTATGAAAACCAGCTTACTAAACTTATCAACAATTTTCACTTTCTAAGCTTTAAAATCATTATTTGACAAAAAAAAGCTTTAAAATCATTTTTTATTTTTTAAGTGTTATTAATGGGCTTTAAAAGCCCAACTCGACTCTCTCACTAGTAGTATTTGGACCAAAAACCAAACTCACACGGATTTGTTTTTGGGCTTCTTCTAGAAAAGCCTCATATTTGTAATTAGAGTTGAACTTAATTTATATATTAGACTATTATATTTTAATCTTTCGATGTGGGGCGTTGGTTTGTTTCCTAACAAATATGCTTGATCATTTCATGGTGGATACTAGATATCATGATATTGGAAAAAATGTCATTTAAATCGTCACTTTGCCATTAGTGGAGGTTTAAAGCATGAACTTTGAGCCTGGTGCTTTTAATCCTCAATTTCTAGTTGACTTTCAATTTAATCTCTAACTTTCGTTGACGAAGCCGATTGAGGCACGTCTTTAACTGGACAAACGGAGGATTAAGACGTTGTTTTTAGTCCGTCTAATATATCCGTTAATAAGCGAAACGACGTCGTTAATCAAATGAACTCCCAATTCGATTAAGCTCGAACCCTAGAATACCAAATCGAATTTAGAAATACAATATCGAATATTCTCTCGTTTTCTTATCTAATCTCCATTTCGTGGGACATTTAGCTGATTAACGGATATATTAGCGGGACAGATAACAGCGTCTTAATCCTCCTTTTGTCCAGTTAAAGACGTGCCTCAATCGGCATCGTCAACGAAAGTTAGAGATTAAATTGAAAGTCAACTAGAAATTGAGGATTAAAAGCACCAGACTCAAAGTTCATGCTTTAAACCTCCACAAATGGCAAAGTGACGATTTAAATGACATTTTTCCCTCATGATATTTGGCTAAACACACAGTCTATTACAGAAACGCGACTCCTATACAATCACTAAAACAACGAGTGAATTGATTCAAAACAGATCAACATCAACAAATAAAACTTGAAATTCTAGTGAGTAAAGATATATACAAGCTTCTAAGATCAAAGGTTTGGAATTTGATATGAAGTTTACCGTGTACGTATAAATAGAGACAGAGTAAGTATTGGCTCTTATACGTAAACTCCATATCATGCCAAACTTTTGATCTCAGAACTTCTATCAATCTGAACAAAGATGGAGTCAAGTTTATAAAGGTTTTGCTCGTTTTCTAAGAGCCAACCTAACCAAAATTCATCTCTGGCAAAGATAAGTTCATGTTGAGTTTACAACCGATTAAGAAGAAAAAGAAGGAAAGAAAAGGATCCATACACCATAAACAAACTTAGTTCGGTTTATTGAGTTTTATTTTTAACCGGAGAAACCCCAAAATTTATACTAAACCAAGAAAAAGAAAAAGTCAAAACCAAATTGATTTTTTAAAAGAAGAAAAAATCCTCAATTTAGGGATGCTTTTCGAAGAAAAAATCATGATATAAAGACTAATAAAACTTGAAATGAAACCGTGCCAAATCAAAACAAAATATTTTGACTGCAATATGGTTCATACTATTAACCAAAATATCCTATAAAACCGAACCGATAGAAAAACGTTAAAAATCTCCCCAACTTCAGCTTTGTCTTATGTTATCCTGAGTGGAAGGGTTCAAATTCCAAAGATCATCGTCCCACACAACATCATTATACAGAACCCCATAGTTTTTCTCAACGAACTCCACGTCCCAACATGAAGGCAACCAAACGGTGCTCCACGTCATCAGCTCGTCGACCACATCATCTCCCGCCTTAAGCCTCATCCCCCACAATTCCTCCTCCTCCTCCACCGCTGCAGCCGCAGCCACCGTTGCTGCTGCAGCCAATGCATCCACCACAACCACCTCCACCTCCATCTCCCTCTCCTCCTCCTTCTCCTCCGGTACTTGTCTCTTCCTCTCCTTCTTCATATATATGATCAATGTATTTATGAGTGAAGGGAGAGAGACGCTATTTAAAGAAGGGGGGATCGGAAGAAGAAATGAGTTTTGAAGAGAATGTGTATGTATGGAGACATAGGTTTAGGACATGGAAGAGAGAGAGAATGCAGTTGCTTAATCACACACCATCTGTCTGTTCCTTTGGCCCTACGTGTCCTCCATTAACCTTTTTTGCTACAAAATATCTTTGGTGAGAGTGGTTCACCAGAATAATAAGTCTCGAGTTTTTTCTTTTTAATGTGTTGAAATAATCAAAATGCCGCCCAGAAGATATTGAAATATCCACACGTACTAATTGTTTGATTTTTCCAATTTATTTTTTCTTCTGTTGTTACTTAATAAAGAAAAAGAGATTCGTTTGAGTGCTTTAGAAAGTGGGAATGGATATTAAACTAGTGGTAATAGTGGGAAATTCCCACCTGGACCAGAAATAGACCAAACGTACATGAGAAAGAGACAAAAGTGTAGTTTGGTTTTGGCAAAATAAAATAAAATTGTAATTTGTAAAGGACGAGTTGAGATTGTGTGTCCGCGAAGGGGCAAGTCGTAAGTGGACCTTTCTCTACCACAGTCACACGCACACGACCATGACGTTAGTTTCTGATGAACAAAAATAAAATAAAAATAAATAAATAAAATAAAATATTATTCTTTATTTTCTTTCTTCACTTTGTTTTGGAATACATAAATGTTTCTTTTATATATATAAAAACGAATACATAAATATTTCCATTTAAGGACGTTTATATACTATGGCCGATTGGCCGGTGAAGAAATAACAGGGCTTGCGTGATGCAAGTCTGAATTGGTCCAAGAATACAAAATGTATGTATAATATATTGAGATTAAGTATATAACAATGATGTGATAAATAATACTGTTGAATAGGTTAACGGGACAATTTTTTTGTTTCGATTTTAATATATACTGGATGAAATTTAACGTGTTATCTTATTGAATATATATATATATATATATATATATATATATATATATATTCATTTGGTATAAAAAAATATAGATTAATATTTAACGTGCTAATAATAAAACAGTTAAGGTAATTTTTGTATTTTGTTAACTGTTAGTAATTAATTAAAACGATTCATAAACTCAAATGAGAGGTAGTCTACATAAATACCTCTACACAAATAATGTCATACGAGCAAAATCGAGTATTCCTTGCTAAACTATCTACTTTTGACTTTGAAGTTTTCAAAATGAGAGAACGGGAATAGAAATAAGATAACTCATTGCTCCTCACAAATTTTTTAATGTGTCTTGATAAACTAAACATACCAATCCACTAATGTAATTTTTTTTTTAAATAAAAAAGTTTCGGACCAAGCCTATACATCTCTATAGATTCGAACCAGCTTATAATATTTTTACTCTTATCTATTATCACTCGATCCCGTGACTGTTTAAAAAATTTCAAGGTACCTTTATAGTCAAGCTATCAATTTTTAATATCGAACTATGAAATGTTGACAATGTAAACATCATCTTTACCAATTTGTTACAGTCTGTTACGAAAACTAAATCATATAATGCATGATTCAAATAAGTATCAGAATTTATGACAACCACACAATCGTGGAAGGGATTTTTGAAAATCAGGGAAGATTGGAAGCTTATGTTGTGGACTTGGCTGCCAATGGTACATGGAGCAAAGTAGAAGAAGCCTCTCTACACTTCTGGATCTTTTTTCAAAGGTTTCATGTACAAATCTATTTATAGGAGAGATATTTTATTGTCTTGGATAGATGGGAAAGATGAAGGCATTGTTGTCTCTTAATCTTGGCAATAGTGTAGTACTTTTAACAGATCTATCTCCAGAAAAGACTGAAAATGTTAGCGTCGGGGAATTTCAAAGCGAAGTTTCCATTTACGATATGTCGAAGGATCTCAGAAGCGACAAGTTTTGTTGCAAAATTTGGTTGTGGGATGGTAGAGATGCAAGAACGTGAAAGCATGTTTTCAACATTGTTCTGAATACGAATTTCGACACTTTCGAGTTAGGATGTATGTCATCTAACAGGCTGGTATCGAAATCAAAATCTTTTGTACTGATATGTTTTATTATATGTTTGATTAAAAATTGATGGAATAAAACTGAAAGGGGTAATAATAGTTATTAGAGGAATAAGATGAATGACGCAAATTGTAATCAAACAAATTTTTTTTACATCAATCATCACTTTTAATTAGTCTTTTATATGTTTATATTATGCATGCATGATAATACTACATACGGTCTATTACTATAAACTAGATAAGGACCCGTCCGATGGACGGGTTTAATTTTTTTTAAAAAAACTAAAATCAAATTTAACAAAAGATGAATTAACAACGTTGTAAGTAGAATTGTTTTACAAAAAGAAAAAATATTTATATTTTCATTGTTGCATTGTTTCTTTAACCACTAAAATTATTAATTCAAAATTATTTCGAATGAAAGATATATCACATAGCAATAACTCATGATATACTATATAAAGTTAGCGAATGAAAACAAAGTGGTTTTTAATTAGACTCATTAAAAATATAAATATGATAAATCGTCTAAATCCCTTAGCCTTCCAAGCTAACGTTGCGGGTTCGATTCCTATATACTCGATTGCAATGACTTTATGTTCCATCAATAAAAATTAATAAATTCAAAAAATTATAAGCACGATGATATATGAATCTTATATAATTCAAATATGAACATAGAAATTTAAATAAACAATTTTGAAATAGTATAATTAAATTCAAAGAAGAAGCATATAAGTTCTTACATATTCAAGAATTTCAAATAAACAATATAAAACTTTACTTAAAATCATCATATATTTCTAATTAGAAAATAAAATTGATATAAATAATGTAAATTTGTAATTTAAATCATGACACTGTCGCTATCTAAAATTATTAGAATTATGATATATTATAAATCTTATATAATTTAAACTGAACGTAGAAACCAAAATAAATAATTTAAAGATACAATAATTAAACTAAAAATAAAAAATTATAAAACGATGATATATGAATCTTTGATAATTTAAATATGAAAAGAGAAATTGAAATAAACAATCTAAGAATACTACAATCATAATTGAGGACAAACAAAAAACACAGTTAAGTAAAAAAAATATTACATAAAGGAAAAAAAATTGATCTCTCATATTTCTAATTGAAAAAATAAACTCAAATAAATAATATGAGGATTAGTTTAAATAAATCATCATATATTTCTAATTGGAAAGAAATTTGAGATAAATAATATCAAATTTTAAATTAAATCATGATACATTGATAAAATCTTTGACTGATACGGTTCATATACTATTAATTACTAAAAAATAGAACATATTAGTTTTATAATAACATATGTTTCCTTTTTAATAAATTTGCATGATTTTTTTTTCTTGTTTAATTGAAATATATATTTCTAATTATAAAAAACGTATGATTTTCTTATTATTATCTTTTGATATTTTTTAAATTGTTTATAGGAATATTCATTATTTACAATTATCTTTATAATTATATTTTACATTTTTAAAATTATTTAAATTTATAATTACTTACAATTATCTTTTTTATTATTTTAAAAAGGAAATTTTGTTTTACACGTGTCAAAATCTAAGATCGATAGATTTGCCACGTGTCACAATCCTATGAGTTATTAACTTTGAAAACCATACTTTATATAATAAGACTAGATAAGAATCCACAAGTAAATCTTATGCTATTTAAATTTATGACATACCATATTTAAAAAAAAAAAACTCAACGTTTTTATATTTAGTCTTGAGGTGCTAAAATATTTTAAATTAAAAATTGCTATATAAATATCATGCAATAACACAACATTTTAGTCTAAATTTAAAATATTTATTTATATTATACAAATAAAGTTGCATTGACTATGTCATTAATAAATTTAGGTTTGTAGATTTGCGGTTTCAATTTAAATTTTATAATCTATGAAAGAATTTGTTGGTGTTAAAATAAATATACTATATATTTATATTGTTTAAATTTTTAATTAGAATGTATTTAAGATTAATAAAATATTTATATAGATGTTAAATTTTGGGAAATTGTTAAAAATACCCCTTTTGGTGTGCCCCTTTTAAAAAATGCCTCTTTTAGATGTCCATTTTCAAAAATGCCCTATTAGGTTTATAATGTACTTATGGATTGTAACTACTACTTGAAGACTCGATCCAAGTATTTATAAGGTTTTATAAGGTGTTTTTAAAGGTTTTACAAGTTATTTTAAAGGATTTTTAAGGTTTTTCAAAGGTTTTACAAGATATTTTAAAGGTTTTCAAAGGTATTTAAAATGCATTTATAAGGTATTTATAAAATATTTATAAGATTTTAGATACATAGAAATGTAGTTTGTGTATGTTTTAATAATATTACATACATATTTGGGTAAATTTTATATTTTTAAGAGCATTTTTTATAAGGTTTTTAAAAAGGGGTATTTTTGAAAAGTGGCATTGAAAAAGTGGCATTTTTGCAAAAACCCCAATAATTTTTCAAAAATTCGAAATATTTAATTTTGATAAATTTAGTTAATAATAATAAATAGTAAATGGAATTAAAAGTGTTCGGCAAAATGGATAGTATAATTAGATGAATGAAAAATAAAAAAAATGAGAATAAATGTGGGCTTAACATATCAACACAAAAAACTCTCTTTAAATGTATAGAAGATAGGTCATGAATAACTGGCGTCACTTTCCATATTATGCTAAAAGAAAAAGAGTTGTGCTTTCAAGAAAAGCGATAATTTTTGAATGATGTTTCCATAAAAGAAAAAACACTCACTTTATTATTTAAAACACAAACACATACCTATTCATATTATGAAGTGGTTGATATAAAAGCGAACATGTGGGAAATTCCTTGGTTAGAAAAATCTAATTAGGGAAGTACTTGGTTGAAGAAATGGCTTCCATTTCGACTTGAGCCATCAACACATCATTCACAACGAAACCCTTTGATGAATCTTTGAGATCTGAGAGTGAGATAAAGTCATTATAACCCCAACCAGAAAATCCTGAATATCCCGGACCATTATACCAAACATCAACTGCCAAAAACAAAAGTTCACCAGAAAGCACTCATGGTCAGTCAAGACGAATATGTCCATATATATATATATATATATAGGTAGATATGTATCATCTGTTTACGTTGCTTTTCGACGTTATTGAATTGGAGTTGGTTGAGAATTCGAAGCTTGGCTCGAACATAAATCTTCTCATAGGGACTGAATTTCTCGTTTGCATCAAGGTTAAGAAACATCGACAAGGCTTTTCCCTCTACTGCGGCATCACCATTTGGATACACTTGTATATTCCTGATCAGCATATGAAGTACTTGTTACTACTACCACTGCTCTAAAAGTCTTAATTATTTTGAAATATTCTGGACTCACCAATTTCTTCCGCCGATTGAAAATACATCTGATAGGTAAGAATCTTTGAGAAGCATAGAGAATCCCCGAATGCTCCAGGTGAATCTCGGGTTATGGAAATTCTCAGTGACAGTGAAAAGTTCAGATATTTTATAGAGAGAAGGAATGGTCACGTCAACACCAAACTCGCAATGATCTCCATCGTAAAGGTATCCGTTTTTCGGGTCTTTGAATGTATCAATAGAGAGGACCTGAGAGAATCCCCACATCGTTTTGAAGACATTAAATTTCCATACATCGGTATCTGCAAATTTTAGCAAAGATAAATTGATAGATAGATGTTAGTATTATGCATATAGATCACATTTTTTGGATTGAAAAAAATGAGCAAGAACCTTGGATGGTGAAGTACTTCCTCTCGTTCTTGTTGAAGATGTAAAACCTTAGATCCGCATAAACCTCTTGATGTGCAGCGACGAGGGTCGAGTTGTCTATGGCTACGTATAGCGAAAGGTACCCTGAACCACTGTCTTTCTTGTTCCCGTTGGGGTACACAACAAGTGTCCTGTTTAAATATTGTATTTTCAGATCCATTCAAAGATTTGTAGTAGTATGAATTAAAGATTCGATTCGAGCAAATAAAAATCAGATTACCACCAACGTACCAGTTGTATCCACCAACTGAGAAAGGACGAGATTCGTATTTCTCTGTGAAGGTTGACTTAAGGAGCGTGTTGAAAGACTCCATCTTGAGAGAGTAAGAGGATGGAGGATGATCTCTCAGACCTTTCACTACATTTGAAGCTGAGACTTTATAATCACGTGATGAGATCTCTTCATTGTTATGTAAATAGTTCCCTTTGTCCTGGTTTGGCATTGGTCCTACTCCATTTTCTTCTGTTTTGAAACAGAGCATTTGAAAGCAAAAAAAAATACAGAGGAATGGTAACTAACCATGTTGAATACACAAGTCCTAAAACAGAATCTAGAAGACATAAATGGATCTTCTTGAATATTGGATTAGATCTAAGAGCAAATAAGATAACATACGCTGCAGATTTGTATTGAAGCCATCAGTGAATTGTCTTATGAAGGAGCTTGCAGACGCAGATGCGACAATGAGACAAAACAAGAGATAAACAACAGGGCTGGTGTTTCTTCTGTAGTGACTCCTCGTCATCTTTTAAGGTTTTGCTGTGAATAGAGACTAGTGAGACTTATCATATATAATGAGAGAGATGCTTTCGATGCTTCGGGAGGCTAAAGATAATAAATGAGCGTTTTAAATTGATAATGTTGTTTATTTGTTTTGCATAGATTTTGTAAAAGTAGCAAATTAAAATGTTACATCTGTATGTCACATTCAATATCATTGACTTTTGAATCAACCTAAGGTCACAACACTTGAGCATAATCTACCAATACTCCTTCAGCATACTCATTTTACCAAACCTATGTATCAAAGAAAACATCTTATCCTTCTTTCTGTGTATGAAGCAAATACAGTTGCTTTTATTCACAAATGATGACGTGGCAACTACGTTAAGTTTAAGGACTTCCCTTCTGCTGCTACTGTGGGTGTAGGAGCCCCATAAGAGACATTCACTAGTTGCGCAGCAGCACGAGCAGCTGCTGCTGCACGATCAGCGCTAGCTAGAGCAGCTCGAGCTCTCTCCATTACATCAGTCTGATCCTGTCTAGTATCAGGAGGAGCTTGAGAAGCTGAAGTCAGCTTAGATGATGGCATGTTTTTGCTCACTGGGTTTTGAGCTTGAAGCTTTTGGAATCTCTGTGTGGCCTCTGCAGGCAGACTTTCAGCCTCCCTAGAAACTGAAGACTGACTGTAGCCTTGCTGGGACGGTCGAGATTCAGAGATACCATCTTGGCGATGTATTTGCTTAGCTCCACCCTACAAATGACAATGGAACCAAACTAGTAACTTTATAAACGGATTTCATTTGATATAAAACGTTTCCAAAACCTTTGCAAAATCATTCAAGTCCATGAGAGAGAAGAAGCTATATTGAACCAAAACTCGTCATTTGTGTACAGTAACAGCCAGGCGTCGGAAAATCATCAATTATTGCTATGCAGACATATATTTATCGTTCCTTTTGGCCTATTGGATATCTACCAGAAAAAGTAAGAATCCGTGGACGCATACAGAAATGTTGGGCAGCACATTCCTACAAGTAGTTCTTAAATTTAGAGTTGTGGTTTCCAATTCAATGTTATGTTCTTTCCATTTAGAGAAACCACATTTATTCCTTGTGACATAGCGAAGTTGTATAATAGTTCACATCTAATTTAGGGGACCGAAGAATGTGACCGACTAGCTTTCCCTTTTTAAATTTATAAAAGAGGGTTCAGAGAATGGTACCAGTAGGTCTTCATGGCTCTTCATGAACTCAGCTTCCGTGGCAGAAGAATCCCATTTCAAACTGTACTCCTGCGCAATATCCTTTAACATCTTGAGCCTTGCCTCTCCAGATGGACTAGTAGGAGAAAGCTTTTCAATGATCTGGCCAAGAAAGCAGAACAATCCAACAAGTTATAAGCACCTTCATTCAAAAATGCATTTCTCTTGAAAAGTATATAAAACATCAAAAAGAAAAGTATATACTAACAGTACGATTGACACCAGAATCGGGACGAAGCTCAGAAGCAACCATGATAAATTCTTTTCCATATTTTGTACCAAAGAGATTCTTAATTTGAAGAAGATCAGGCACTTCAGAGCACCTTGGAGCAGCAAAGATAATGCTAGCAATAGCCTCTCTCAACTCTCTAGGGCATTCCCTATACGATTGCAAATCCAAAGAAACATATTATGATGGATCATTCCACTCTCTATCCTTTGATCACAAATGAAACTCAAAGACTCACTTTTCACTTTCAAGAATAGGAACACGAGCAAGTACAAACTCGCAGAATAGCTCCAGTATCTCATAAGCTGCCCATAAATTCATTTCTCTGATCACATGCTCCACCTAAATCTCAGACAAGAATATAAGAACTTGATGTTCATTGTAAGAATTAACAAACACAAATCAGAATGGGATCATAAAAATAGTTTTAAAAAAAAAGAAAGGGAAAGACCCGAATTCGAGCAATGGGTTCTTGTCCAGCTTGCAGGAACTGAGCTATCTCCTTCTTCATATGTTTAAGCTGCATATCTCTCTTGTTTTGCAGCAATTTCATTCGAGCAATCGCCAAATTCAAGCTTGTCTTGCTGCCAAATTTTACTTAAATTTCTCAGTTTTTTTTGGACAATCAAGAACATAATAAACTCTAATTCAAATTGAAGCAAACGAGTAATCGATGGCATCAAATTAACAACTTTATTGAAGAACCCTAGCTTCAAATCAAAACCCGGATCCTAAAAGAGTCAACGTATAAGAAAAAGAAGAAGAAGAAGAAGAAACCATTTGGCACCAAAGATGCCACGGTTGAAGAGTTGGTTTAGCAGCGACATTGAATCGGAGTAGAGGGAATCAATGCGGAGGTTGGCGATCGTCGATGGAAAAGGAAAACGAAGATAGTGAAAGTAATACGCTGCTCCGCGGAACACGGTACGAGCATAGCCGTAGCCAGTAAAAAGCACGCGTGAAACTCACAGGTGAAAACGAGAGTGGAAGTGTGGGACTCATATAGATATCCCAGATAGTGTATATTAAATGTTTAATATCCAAAAGTTAATATTTTGCTTGCTTTCATTTTATTTTCTACTTTTTAAATTTGTTATTTATGAAACGAATAATAATAAAATTTAAAATTAAATTAAAGCTAAATCATAACTTTGGTAATTCTATCTTTTTTATTTTTGCTGTCTAGTAGTATTATTTAACCAATTAAAGAATAGGGTACATAAAAACTAGAATTCTTAAAGGCATAGCAATAAAAACTAGAAGTTCTTTGTCAAAAAAAAAAAAAACTAGAAGTTTGATTTAAATCAAGAGGACAACAAAACAATCGGCAGCCTCTAAAAACAAGAGTACGTACAACAGAAAACCAACTGCATATCAATAACCAATTTCTCTTTGTTAAAGGAATTTTATGAGTCACCAAGGACTAGGCGATGTAAGATGGAAATCTAATTTTTCCCATGAGAAAAATTATTTAATTTATATTATAGGATATTCATCTCCAAGTTATTTAATGATAAAACAAATGTTTAGGTCGATGTAATGATTGTATAGCTTGTATACGGTTAGGGATTGTATGGAATGATTGTGTGGCATGTATAGGACAAATGTTACTATAAAGACTATGGTTAGAAAAAAAATATAACCGTCACGGAATGGTTGGTTAAACGTAACAATAGTAACTATACACTGTGGATCTCAAAACAAAAACAAAAACGAAAAAACAAAAGTAACTTGTAACTGTGGTCATGTTGCAGAGGCTGACTCATTCACCTTTTTGCCTTATCCTCCTGGCTCTGAAGTTTCTTTGAAAGCCTCCTCTGCCGCCTTTCTCCAACGTGTCTTAAAATTATCCACCACATCATCTCTCTTCCGTATCTTTTTTTTCTTTATATACTCATAATGAGACCATAAACCAAAATCTCCTCTCTTTTTCTCCCCTTACTTTTCTTCCTTACCAAATATAGCAACAAAAAAAACATTTTCTGCCTAAGAAAAATACTAAGTTTCTGTCATGGAGGTCCCGATAATAAACAGAATAAGCGATTTTGACGTGGGGATAAACTCGATAAACGACCCGTCGTATTTATCTCGAGCTTTGGCCGTCTCCGGCGTCGGAAAGTTACATCAAGCTTATAGTTTCTGGAAATGGGGCGCTTTATTGCTACTTGCATTTTTTGCTTCATTTACATCGTTAACTACAAGAATCAAGGCTTTAGTCTTTAGATTAAGAAACGTAAACGTGTCTCTACCTTCCCCAACTCTTTTGTGTAATTACGACAGCGATTCCGATTGGTCTTTTGCGTCAGACTCTTCAGACGAAGATGATGACGATGACAAAGAAGATGAATCGGTCAATGGAGATTTACGCGTTAAAAGATTTAGTTATTTCCATGATGATGATGATAAGGCTATAAATGGTAATGTCCCCTGGTTGCGGCGGTGCAGTGGTAGCTTCGGAGACTTGTTAGATTTAGGCTCGAGCGGAGTCGTGAAGCTTTGGGACAATCTTGATTTCAACGGAGAAGGAAGTCACCATAACGCGGTGGCTTCTTTTTTGAGCAAATGCGGCTCTTACTCGTTGTTGTCGTCGACGGTTTTATTAGCGGCGGAGAAGAAAGGATCCGACGGCCTGGAAGTGAGTGCGTGGGATGCACGCGTCGGTTTTGGGGTCCCCGCGTTGCTCGCGGAATGGAAGCAGCCGGGGCGGTTGCTTGGGAAGATCATTAGGGTTGACGTCGGTGACGTGGACAAGATCTACGTCGGTGATGACGTCGGAGGAGAGATTACTGTGGGAGACATGAGGATGGTTAACGGTGCGTTGACAGAACTGACGGAATCAGAGGTTGAGGGAATGGTGAGAAGACGCCGACGCCGACGCCGTCATTGATGAGCTGACGGTTCCGTTTGGAAGATGTATTGATGATAAATGATTGGCCCAATTTGTCTGTCTTGTAAATAATTTGTTCAACATTTTTTTTTTTTTTTGTAAATAATTTGTCTGTCTTGTATTTTTTCAATTTAGTTTTTATTTTTTTGGCAAAAAAGAAATGAAATAAATCTCTTATTTTGTTCTTTTAAATAAAGAAATTCAAACTCCTGTTGTCGTGTATTTTGGATTTCATGTTAACCTTTTTTTTTTAGTAGACTCGAAAATATATGATAACTTTTTTTTTTTGGTTCATCAACTTGGAATATGGAAACGTATTACCTACGGAAAAGAAAAATAGCTGGAAACGTGTTATTTTTGGTTGGAGATACAATATGCGAAAGTTATGGAAGCAAGAGATTTGACTTTCAAATCAACGGAACAAAACGTGTTATTTTGGTTTTGGACCTTTTGGTCATTGGATCTTTATAAATTGTAATGATCATATAGTATACATTGCAAGTCTGATAGGCTATTAATCCACCACTTTCGTTGGTCTCTGGACTTTTAGTCAAAACGGGCTTCACTTGTTGTTCTCGTCAAGTTTATGGGTCAAAAAACCCATAGGCCCGGAACTTTTTTTCCTGCATGGATGAAAGAGGACTCCTCCTTGCTCGTGGTGGTAACAAGCTTATCGTTCATCTCGTTTACGATCATAGGTTTGATGGCGTTTGCAACTAACTGGAAATCTCCTCGGCTCGAGATGTAAATAACTCTAGTAGTGATGCTTGATGGGAGATGATCTCGGCAATCTTGTCATATTTTGTGGTGGGCGAATCCTTAGTCTTCTTCGATGAATGAGTGAGAACGTAGTGATACTTTTTTTTTTTTTGGTAAAATGACGTAGTGATAACATTAAAATGGATCGACAAGCAAGTTAGGAATCAAATTTCAATGATCAAAGCAAGTGGAGATCGCCGCTACGAAAAAGCCCTCCAAGTTTGAGTTCAATCAAGAACTTAACCATATCAATTTACATGCTTAAATAAGTTTGATTTTCTTCTTTCAACCAAAAGTGGCACTTGATGTAAAAACGTTAATTTCTTTTTGAATTTAATTTAACATTACATTAAAAAAAAAACATTAAAATTTGATTATATACAGTAAGTATATAACTAAACTATATCAAATATCAATAAAAATATTGTTTTTTTTTCAAAAAAAACATTGTTAAGAAACTCAAATAGGTTTTATAATGGATGGAGATGTTTGATAGTATTAACCAAAAAAGGATTTGAATCCGGAACGCTAAAGCCCTGAAGTTGAAAAGGGAAGTCCAATACCAGACCGTCCGTATCATCTCATCTTTCAAACCAAGTGGGTGTCACAAGCTTCCCGATAAGCGCTTCCTTCAAATTTTTTTGGTCCAATCCCTCAAACCGTTTGTGCTACCTTTAGAATTTTGTTTTTCTATTAGTTAAATGGTTTTAGTAATTGGATTAGGAAATGATAAACGAGCCAAATTAATATTGATGATCTCATAGGAAATTAATATTTTTTCCCAAAAGAATGAAAAAGAGAGTAGTTGGGAATTGAGTTTTTGAAAGGAGCCTCCAAATTCAACATCCCAAAATTGACTTATGACCAATCATGAAATCGACATGTGGGGGTGCGTTGTAATCACATTTACGGTTGGATTAAGACTAAGAGCATCTTCATGGGTGAGAATGAGATACTCATTGGGTATCTCAACCATATAATACTAGTAGTATTTTTTTAAATATTTTATTTGGAAAAACTCATACTACAATGTTACCTCCATTAGTGAAATATTCTATGAGTATCTCATCTACATAAAATTAACATTTTAATAAAAGTTTATATTCAATTTTAAACATATCATTTAATTATAATAAACATTTTGTAAAACAATATGATTAAAATTACACATCATTTTATCAAATAGATTTTAATTACATTAGACATTTTGTAAATAATGACAAAAAAAAACACATTCTTTATCAAAATATCAAAATGTTGACAAAATATCAAATTATTTATCTAAGATTTATTTTCTAATATTACAGTATTTTATTAACTAAAAATATTAATTTATATTTATATTAACCTCAACTAATATCAATTAAAAATAATATTAATATAAAGTTTAAACTTTTGTATAATGGAGCTTGATATATAGATATTTTTATTTTATGAATTGTAGAAAAAAAAAAATAAAAAATAATAATCTATAAACTGTTTAATTGATATTATAAATCATAAAGTAATTGATTTTTAAAGAAATTGTTTAATCAATCTAAGAGTGACATGTATATGAGAGAGGGTTTCTCAAAATTTCTCAACTTTTTGACTAAAAAATTATTTTCTTTTTGTTTTTGATTTTTTTTAATATGAGTTTCTCATAGAAAAACTACCAATGGAGTTGCTCTAAGTTGTTCTAAGAGTTTCTCTTCTTTCTTTGTCACAACTTTAGTATCGAAATTAATTCGATGATTTGTCGTCGAGTTTGAAAATTCTACACACATTTTTCTTCTACTGCTTCTCAATTTAAGCCTCAGTTATGAATGCAATTTCCTCGACTCTTAATTACCATCTTAGTGACGATTTTTTTTAGTTTAGATGTAGATTTTAAGATTAGAGTTTGACACAAAATCCCATTACAAAAGTCATTGTTTCCAACATATACCCGACTAGATTCATCAATGAATCCAACATAGAACCGCCTACATAGATATTCAACCATGGATAAAAAACTTAAAAAGATCATATATATAATATATTTGAGGAATTATATTCTTTTTTTTTTTGGTAAGATGAGGAATTATATTCTACTACAGTAATATATTTAACTTAATACAACCAATTAGATTAGTGCAAGTATGAATTGGCAATAGCCCTCGTGTCCTCTTTATTTTACAAAGAACGTGTCTCATTACCTATGTCTTTGAATGATAAATATCTTATTCTCTTTTTCGCATGTTACTCGCCAATCGCCATCCTCATCAATCATAATATAATTCCATGATCATCCGTCTAATCATTTATTATGATTTCCTTTTATTGTTTTTTTTTTTTTTTATATTCCAAAATTATTTACTATCGATAACAAAAACATCTGCATAGTACAAATGGTCACAAGAAAATAATACTAAATATTATGGTTTTACATAAAGCATCACTAATCTCGTGTAAATAGCCAAATAGGATATAAATATTAGAGGAATGTTTGATCAAACGAGTTGCCAATTAGCCGACTTGTCTATTACCTATTCAATAAATTTAAACTACATATACTTTTACAGAAACAAAAAAAAAAAAAAAAAAAAAAAGAGGTGGATCAAAAGACTTTTCAAGATGAAACAAAATCAAAGGTCTGTCTCAGTGTTTCTAACGCTTTTAATAATGGAATGGAAGACTCAATTACACATACAAAAGATAAGCCTTGTGTGGTCAAATCTTGAACATTTGCAACTTCGACTCAAAGGTAAACGGATCTCTCTCTATTCATTTGAAAGATTCTAATTCCACCAGAGCCTCCGGTCAAAGCCAATCTTCAAACGTTTTTTTTTTCTTTTTTCCAATATAGCAGCAAGAACCAACGACTATTGTACAAATCTTCATCCTCTTCTCTTGTATATTAAAACAAAACCTCCATAAGACTATTCTTCCTCTAGAGCAGAGTTCTGTCTGAATCCCCCACAAAAGTCAACTTGTCTGTCACAATACCACAAAAAAAGGACCATACTCGAATTACCACAAAAGGGTAGGAGAATTCTAACTCATCTCCTCAAAATGAAACCAAAGTCTTGATATTTTTAGATCTGGATACCGAAAAACACACAAGCTTCTAATCAGAACACATATGGAGACTGTCTCTGTTTTGCTCTTCTTCTTCCTCTTCCTTCTTGTGGCAGAAGCCAGGAGTACCTACCGGAGAGGTTGCGACGATTTCACCTGCGGAGAATTCGACTTCAAGTTCCCTTTCTTTAGCACAACTATGCCGTCTCGATGCGGTCTTTTCAAGCTGAACTGCAGTGCAAATGTCTCAGAGATACAGCTTGTAGAAGATGGGCGATGGTATAAAGTCAAGAGTGTCTCTCAAGCCAACACGATAACCATCACCGACCCGAGGCTTAACCAAAGCTTGACAACCGGAAGCTGCAGTGACTTGTCAAGCTTCTCTATTCCAGATTCGCCATGGCTCAACTTGACCACTTTGTACAAATGCAACAACAGTAGTAGGAAGAATGGTTTCAGCTATGCGAATTGCAGAGGAGAAGGAAGCAGCTTGTACTACAATTTGACAGATGGTCATGATGCTTCAGGGTGTTCACCTATCAAGACTCCAGAGAGCTGGGTGACTCCAAGAAATGGGAACCAGTCTGATGTAAATGCTACCTTCTCTCTTCATATAGAACTGCCTGGAGGCTGCTTTCGCTGCCACAATAACGGTGGAGAATGTAAGATGATCAAAGACAAGTTCCACTGCGATGGAGGAACCAAAGGTATGAACACAATGAAACATGTTCATTACTTAGTTACTTCTCCAATTCTACTTGCAAAACATTTGGCTATATGACTATAGTTCGATTTCTGTCCCTTTCTTGCAGAACAAAAAGACTACCATCAGGAGATGAGGCTAGGATTAGGTAAAAAAAGATGTCCTGTTTTGCTCCTTTGGTTTCATCCTCCTCCATGAATTACTCAATTTGAATCATTTTCCTCTCTAATTGTCCATAGCTATCGGAGGTCCTGTCATCTTGATAATCATCTTGGTGGCACTCTTTGCTATCATCCATAGGAATTACAGAAGGAAAGATGGATCAGAGCTCTCTAGAGACAACTCAAAATCTGACGTTGAGTTTAGTCATGTCTTCTTTAAGATACCAATCTTCTCCTATAAAGAACTTCAAGCAGCAACAGACAACTTTAGTAAAGACAGATTACTTGGAGATGGAGGCTTTGGCACTGTGTATTATGGTGAGATGATCAGTGCGCTAACGGTTCTAAAAAAGTGTATAAATCTCTCTGTTAAGCTAATCTTTTCTTCCCTTTTGATCTCAGGAAAAGTGCGTGATGGACGAGAAGTTGCAGTGAAGCGTCTCTATGAGCACAATTACAGAAGACTTGAGCAATTTATGAACGAGATAGAAATCCTCACACGTCTCCATCACAAGAATCTAGTCTCCCTCTACGGATGCACTTCACGCCGTAGCCGAGAGCTTCTCCTTGTCTATGAGTTTATTCCAAATGGCACAGTTGCAGATCATCTCTATGGCGAAAACACGCCACACCAAGGCTATTTAACATGGTCAATGCGCCTGAACATCGCCATAGAAACAGCGAGTGCATTGGCTTACCTTCACGCTTCGGATATCATACACCGTGATGTCAAGACTACAAACATTCTCCTCGACGGGAATTTCGGAGTTAAAGTCGCGGATTTTGGGCTATCCAGGTTGTTACCGAGTGATGTAACACATGTTTCAACTGCTCCTCAGGGTACTCCGGGATATGTGGATCCTGAGTATCATCGGTGTTATCATCTAACTGATAAAAGTGACGTGTATAGCTTTGGAGTGGTGCTTGTCGAGCTGATATCGTCGAAGGCTGCTGTTGATATAAGCAGGTGCAAGAGTGAGATCAATCTATCAAGCTTAGCTACAAACAAGATACAGAACCACGCGACCCACGAGCTAATTGATCAGAATCTTGGATATGCAACAAATGAAGGAGTTAGAAAAATGACTACAATGGTGGCAGAGTTGGCTTTTCAGTGCTTGCAGCAAGACAGTACAATGAGACCCACAATGGAACAAGTTGTGCAAGAGCTAAAAGGAATCCAGAATGAGGAGCAAAAATGTCATACCAACGATCACAGGGAGGAGACAATAACTCTGCACCCTTCGCCACCAGATTGGGGTGAGGCTGCACTATTAAAAAATATGAAATTCCCACGTTCACCAATCTCTGTGACTGACCAATGGACAAGTAAATCAACCACACCGAATACGAGCGCCTACGAATTCTAGGATCCACCAGGTATTGGTTTCTTTCTCATTTGTTTCAATGGAACGATGTAAGCTGAGGCACCGAGAGAATGTACATAGTGACATAACTTGCACTACCAATCACCAATTTTCTATGTCTAATTTTGTCTAGTGTATGTAATATTGACTCAAAAGGTATTTATAAAAAGAGAAAAAAAATTGACAGTAAGAGTTAACTTGACTCGCATCCACAGCTCCGTTACGATCTCAGTGCTATCTATCTACTGATTCCAGGCCTATCTACCTTGTTAATCACTGGATCTGATACCAGAAACTAATTTGGATAAAATTATCTATATAAAAGGCAAGATTCCTAAGGCATCCAAGAAAAATCTCTCTAACCAGAAACACATGTCTTTTCTCAGTGATAGTTGTTCCTTCAAAGTGCTAAAAGCTTATATAACCTGGGGAAGAAGATCCAATTACCTTGTGGTAAATGAAACGCCGATTTCAAGAAAGAAAAAGGAAAGAAATCCTCTTCCTTTTCATAGTTACAGTAGCCTCTAACATCTGTAGTGCCAACAAAATTCCATCCAAAGCATCTACTTTGACATTCCAAAATCGCTTTCTATAAACCCCACAACCTGCAAATTTGCACATAGAGATCTCAACTATAACTCTTAGAATACCACAACGAATATGATCTTCAATGACTCGCTGATCATCAAAAGGGCCAAAAAAGTAGTTTATTGATAGTTTACACATTTGTTAGAATGACGAGAAAAGGTTACAACTCGATCACCGCAAGGGAAAAAATTACGTAACTGGAACATGCATGGCATTGAATAAAAGAAAACCTATGAAGCATGGCTTGAGTCTTATAAACTTTATTTGCTTCCAAGAGGGATAGGGGGAGTGCTGATCTTATTAGATTGAGTTTGTGATTCTCTCAAACCCAAATCTTTCTCTTCTTCTTCTCCTCGTCGACTAACTAAACTCTTTCTTTCTTCATCTCTCCTGTGATCTTCTGATTTATTAGTCTCTGGTGGCATAACTTGTCGGAAAAATCTAAGCATCATCTCATAGGTTGTAAATGTAATAACTGCTGATGGAGTTGTCCTCAAGAGATTAGTGGCACATCCACGGTACAACCCAGGAATCCCTTCGCTTCTAAACACCTTCGTGATGCAATCAATGACTCCCGAATACTTAGTCTCAGCGTTTTTCATTTGCCCTTGTTCTTGAAGCTTGGCCCTAATTACCTGTGGATGTAACATAAACCCATTTAAGAGTTGGGTCAGTTAGTTATGAGCTTAAGAGTGAGGTAAAGAGAACACGAGAGAGAGGAAGAAGACAGACCTCATGTGGGTAAGTCAAAACAGAGGCGATCACTTTCGCGATTGAAGATGCAATAGCAACATTCCCAGGACTCAGATTCTCGACTGATGTATTATCTGAGAACTTTAAATAGATCTGATCAAAAACTAGTTGGATTTGGAAACAGCATATGATTAGTAGCAATATTTTGCAGGAGGAATCATGCTTTACCCATGTTTGCCATGTATTGCTTGATCTTTTCATAAGCTGGAAACTGGATCGCGACATGGCTTACTCCCGCCAAAGAAGGTAAAATGCCACTGTTCCAACACAGGAAAATTTAACCCATATATCTAAAGTTTAACATAAGCATGGAAAGGAAAAGGTGTTCACATTTACGGAAATTCCAGTTTCATTTAAGATACTAACCTGTACAGCCCTCTCAATCCTTCTTCATGACAAATCCTACTAAATGCAGACATTACACTTTTGTAAGGTACCACATCCGGTCTAATTCCTTGTGTCTGAGAAAACAGATAAGAGATTAGGTGAAGTATATTTAAGCTGAACCAAAGAAAGAAGACAAAAGTTACCATTAATCTTGTCTTAACAACCCAAAGCGGATTAGTTGCAATAGATGTAGCAGCTCCAGCACCAGCAGCAGCTACCACGTTTGACCCAATACTAAGCTTGCCATCTATCAGGTAAATACAAAAACAGATGAAAGACCGGATGACAAGACTTGGTATACATTATTTGGGAAAACATATCTGCTACTCTTTGGTTAAGCACAAGCAAAAACAAAGCACGAAAAGATTTGTAATTTGTAAGTAATGAGAACCAACCATTTGACTGCAGCACATCCTTTAGCTTCCCATAAACTGAGAAGTAGACCTGCGCGTGGTACCAGAATATTGATTAAAGGAAAGAACTAAAGATATCTAAAAACAGATGAATATCGTTTACAAACATAACATATCTCCAGGAGAATGTTGGGCACGTAATCTCTTTTATGACAGGATTCCCTTAAAGAAACAAAGTTGGGGAGAGAAAAGTGGTGCTTACAGCCCAATTAGGGAGGAGAGCTATGATGGTTGGTGAAAGCCCTCGATACATTCCCCTATAACCTTCTTTCTGTACTATATTCTTCAAACTTGTAATGATTACACCACCTGATATATTACAAACAGATGTAGCTAGTTAACACCTATAGACAACAACTCAAGAGAGAGAGCCTTGATCAAACATGCAACAACTTCAACAGAAACAAAACTACTTGCATTTGCATAAACACAATCTGATATCATCACATTAGATCTACAACTACATATTAAACTACTTAATTCTTACACAAATTAAGCACAGTTTTTATGAAGCAAGTAGTACCTCTTTGACCAGAGGCCGGAGTTTCAGGGAGACCAAGAACCTGTAACCTTGTTTTGATCACATCTAATGGACAAACGAAAGTCGCCGCGATAGCCCCTGAAAAATCCCCAAATCAACCAACAATCAGCGACCAGCCATCCACAAGAACCAAAAGACGAACTTGAAAACAGAGAATCGAACTGACCAGCGGTGGCTCCGGCGCCGGCGTTTACGGCGACCTCTCTAATACTCCGGTAATCAAAGGTTGAGTTCCCATGTTCAATCATCTTAAAACCCTAGAATCTCTCAATTGGTGGGAAAATTTTAAAGGAATCTGACTCAAAAATGAAAACGAGATCCAGCAGTAGATGATAATAAACTCGGCCACGAGAATCGATGAATATATACAATTCCCGTCGTTCTTGACATTGACCCGACCCGGAGGAAAAAATCGAACGTGTAGACGGGTAAAGGAAGAGACTTTGTTGCGTACGATTTAGGCGGTCCCAAGTCGAACGAAAGGATCGATTTTTTGATTCCGAAGAAGAGAAAGAGTCGTCACAGTTGGTTTGAGATGACGTCACGCATTAACAACACACAACCCAAGAAGAGAGAAAGTTGAACACTTTTGGCCTCTATCTGATTATGTAGTTAAATCTGATTGAATTCGATATAATCTGATCAGACCAAGTTAAACCGGTAACTCAACAGTTTAACCGATTTGGTTTGGGTCCGCTCAAACTTTGAAAAACAAATTAAAAAAACTGCATCGGCGACCAGCTTCACACTTCTGAAATCAGATTCTGTAGAAATGGGAAATCTGAAACTTGCTTTGATCATCAAGAACCCTAGAGACGACGTTGAGTTCCTGCTCGAGAAGGAAAATCAGCCGGCGAAATTTGGAGAGGAAGCTTATGATTCCTTTGTCGATTCCGATCTCTGGGACTTACCGTCAACAGATTTACTGGCTTTGGAAGACGGAGTCAGGTCCGGATTTAGTATCTCTATACTTGAATCATGTTCTGAGGAGGTTGATTTGATGAATTTCGACTTCGAATCCACACTGATTCTGGTAATTTATGAGTTTAGCACTGTCCTCATTTTCTCATTGTTTCTGTGAGTTAATGTTTCTAAGTAAATGCAGCTGTTGGCGAATTTAGGGATTGGTATTAGCGATGTAGGAGAGTGGAGATTTGTCAGGTCTGTAGAAGAGCCTGAGTTTGGACCTGACTCTTGCGTCCGTACTTGTTTTATCTCCGGGAAGCTCTTGAATACAGATCGAAGTTTACAAGGTCGCCCTTAACTCGATAGTATACAATCTTAATCTTTCTTTATTTCCACATTTCCAGAGCTTATGGAAATAGCTTCACTCGATTCGAAAGAAACATTGAGAACTGGAAACTGAAAAAAGTAAACTTAGTTGTTAATTTTGTTTTAGTGCAGACAACTGTAAGTGGATGTCCATGGAAGCATGCTTTGACTCTCTTATAGATGTGAAACCGGGCTGTGATCGTGTTGGACCATTAGTACTACTTGGACTTGGGGATGGTTCATGTCAGTCCTTGAAGCAGAAGTTGTCATCTTCTTTGCCTATTCAGGTCTCTTGTTGCTAGACTATCTATACTTGTCTTCTTCATCAAAGTGGTTCCATCTTATGATGTTATTCTTTTTAGTAATCCTATTTTTTATGTCCTTTTCATCTCAGGAATATCCACCTGGTGTTATGCTTGTGCCAATGCGTAGCAGAACATTGAAACCTTTCAAGACAACAAATTTGGTTGTATTTGCTCCAGAAAATGGTTCAGGGGATCATCAAGGGACTGATTTTGTAGCTCATGGAGATGCGTTGATAGTAGATCCTGGATGTCTCTTCAAACTCCACGTTGAGGTTTGTCACCAGCTAGTAGCTACTACCTATGTGTTGTTTTCTCTCTTCGTACTAGATTCTTTACTTCTTTTCCGAATGGTACAAAAAAGCATCTCTCCAAAGATCTGGTCTTTACATTTATCATTTTAAACTATTCACAACTGCTTTTTTTTTTGTCTTAACAAGCTCAAGAAAATCGTTGATGCTTTACCTAGAAAGCTAATTGTCTTTGTTACACATCACCATCGTGATCACATTGATGGTAAAGATTTGTTTTTCCGTCGTGGTTTGGTGGCTTCTTTTGTTTATGCCAATGTTCTTCATCTTTATCTGTGTTTCAGGTCTTTCTGCTATACAAGAGAGCAATCCTGATGCTATTTTAGTGGCACATGTTAAAACTAGGCATCACATTGGTATCATCATTCTTCAATATTGTTTTCCATTCATAAAATCCAACTTCTTATGTTCGAATACTCTGTGATTCCAGATGGTTGGTCTGGTAACTATACCCCAGTTTCTGGAGGAGAAAACATCTATGTCAATGGTCATAAATTGACCGTCATTTTTGCTCCGGTACCTATCCAGCTATTTTAAATCCTTAAATAGTCCTCAAATTTGCAGCTCTGATGGAAATTATACTTCTTTAATGAACTCTTAACCAAGACAAATACTCCAGGGACACACAGATGGCCATATGG